CCTCTATTCTCCATTTTAATCAGTGTGACTTGTATCTGCTGTGAATGTTCCTTTTTGTTAACCATCATTTATATTTGGTAATATATATATATATATATATATATATATATATATATATATATGAAATCACATACTATATATATATATGTGTGCGCGCACACACACACACACATATATATATGTACATTTATATAAGTAATATACTTAATGTTTACCTAGAAGGGTGTTTATTTAGTGTGTGCTTTAGCAACTTATTTGCTTATGCTATATTTTGCTTTACATAAATTAAACTTTTTCTTTGTTTGTTTGTTTGTTTTGAAACAGGATTTCTCTGCATAGCCTTAGCTGTCCTGGAACTCTCTTCATAGACCAGGATGGCCTTGAACTCATAGGGATCCACTTGTCTCTGTCTCCCAAGCACTAGGATTAAAGGTGTGCACCAGGACTGCCTAGTTTTTTAAAAAAATCAAATTTATTAGTACTTTACATTTCTGTTTTGGGCATCATGTTTGGAATAGGCTTTTCCATCTAATATTTAGGCAAACTCCATCATATTTTTCTTTCAATATTTTGTGATTCAAACTTTTGAATTTAAATGCTGAATCTACTGGATTAATTGATTTAGTTAAAGGATATTCAATAAAGATAATCAGGCTACAATACACAGCACCAGAAAAGCTAAGTAACAAGGAGGACTCTAAGAAGGACGCATGGATTTCCCTGGGAAGGGTAGATAGATGATATCTACTGAGTAAACTTAAGGTGGAATAGAGGAGAGTGGATGGAGGGATGGGAACATAAAGGATCCCAATGGTCGAGGTGGGGGTGGGACAGAGTGGGAGAGTAATAAGAGAGGTAACTTGAGAGAGGGGACCATTTGGGGGTTAGGGAGAAACCTGGTACCAGGTAAATTTAGTGGAAAGGGTGCTTGAACTGATCTTCTCCTGTAATCAGATTGGTGACTACCCTAATTGTCACCAGAGAGCCTTCATCCAGTAACTGATGGAATCAGGTGCAGATATCCATGGCCAAGCACTGGGCTGAGCTCTGAGAGTCCTGTTGAAGAGAGGGAGAAGGGATTGTAAGAGCAAGAGGGGTCAAGATCATGATGGGGGAATCCACAGATACAGCTGACCTGAGCTAGTAGGAGCTCATGGACTCTGGAGCAACAGATAGGGAGCCTGCATGCCACCAACCTAGGCCCTCTGCATGTGGGTAACAGTTGTGTAGCTTGATCTGCTTGTGGAGCCCCTAGCAGTGGGATCAGGACATGTCCCTCATGTATGAGTTGGCTTTTTGGAACCTATTCCCCATGCTGGGATGCCTCCCCTAGCCTTGATGCAGGGGGAGGAGCTTGGTCCCGCCTCAACTTTATATTCATGCTTTGTTGACTCCCATGGGAGGCCTACCCTTTCTGAATAGAGGAGTAGTAGATGGGGGTGGGTAAATGAGACATAGAAGGAGGGAATGGGGAGAGACAGAGAGGGGAAACTGTGGTTGGTATGCAAAATAAATTTTAAAAATTTAATAAAAAACGATAAATTTAAAAAAAGAAACAATTTTTTGGTGACTCATGTTATATCAAACTTACTTTTAAATAACATACTAAGGGCTAGAGAAATGGATCTATGGTTAATGGTTAATATCACTTGTTATTTATACAGAGGATCTGTGTTTGGTTTTGAGTTCCCACATGGCAGATCACAATCATCTATATATCTAGCTCCAGAAGATCTGATGGCATTTTCTGGCATCCATAGCCACATGTTTTAAACATAAATACATGCAGGAAAACAGTCATATGCATAAAATAAAAGTAAATATTTTGAATTTTAAAATGACATCTTAAGCCCATTATATATATATATATACATATATATATGTGTATGTATATATATATACATACACACACACATATATATATGATATTTACTTAAGGCGTTGTGAGTTATTATAATTATATACTTAGGTCTAGAAATAAATAGTGCCTCCATGCTAGTGAGTCTCTTCCCTCTGCTCCCTAGGAGCATACTTCTTCCCCTGTGAAAATGATATTCTTTCCTTTACAGTAATCACATGTGTGGTTTTCCTCCTAAGTTTTCCTCCTAAGTCTATGTTCTTAAGTACTGCAGTGTTCAGACTTGTTTGTTTGGAAAAGATAACATCAAACTGTATGTGTGATTTTACAGGTGACTTCTTGCTTTGAAGGTTTTTATGGTACTGTACGCTAGAAAGACAGCTTAGCAATTATGATGCCTGCTGGTGGCCATGTCAGAGGAGCAGCAGATGGCAATGAAAGTTGGAGGTGTTTTTGTTTTGGTTTTGAGAGACAGGGTTTCTCTGTGTAGCTTTGCGCCTTTCCTGGAACTCACTTGGTAGCCTAGGCTGGCCTTGAACTCACAGAGATCTGTCTGCTCTGCCTCCCTTGTGCTGGGATTAAAGGTGGACTACTACTCACATCACCAGGGAGGCTACCTGGAAAACAGGACCCCAAGAAAGACACAAGGATCGCCCAATGACAGAAATGGATGAGATCTACATGAACAGCCTGGACATGAGTGGGGGTAATGAAAGGCAAGGGTCAAGGGAAAGAGAGCTTGGGGGAGTGGGAGATCCCAGCTGGATCAAGAACAGAGAGGGAAAACAAGGAATAGGAGACCATGGTAAATGAAGACCACATGAGAATAGGAAGAAGCAAAGTGCTAGAGAGGCCCACAGAAATCCACAAAGATACCCTCACAATAGACTGCTGGCAATGGTCAAGAGACAGCCCAAACTGACCTACTCTGGTGATGGGATAGCCAAATACCCTAATTGTTGTGCTAGAAACCCCATCTAATGACTGAGGGATCTGGATGCAGAGATCCACGACTAGACCCTGGGTGGATTTAGGCACTAATGATCTAGTATTAAATTCCACTTGGTGCTTTAGTAGTGAAGTGATAATAGATGAGAGACAAGGAGCAGTTTGCCGTGTAACCAAGCATGAGTAAAAAGATGGTTTCGGCCGGGCAGTGGTCGGGCAGGGAGGCAGAGGCAGGAGGATCTCTGTGAGTTCAAGGCCAGCCTGGGCTAGAGAATGAGTTCCAGGAAAGGCTCAAAGCTACACAGAAAAACCCTGCCTCAAACAAACAAACAAACAAACAAACAAACAAAAACAATTTAAAAAAAAGGAAAGATGGTTTCATAGAGCTCAGATTTCCACTGACTTCTTGTCATTGGTGGAATTCTGCAGAGGCGAAGGCAGAAAGTACAAGAGTAGGAAAAAGTAAGGTACACTAGTGGTTTCTGTGTCTTCAGGGAACAGCCTCCATTGATTATGTGCTTCATTAATGGGACAAAAGATTTTATAAAGAGTTCTGGTTCAGAATTTACTTGAATCATCAGTCTCTGCAACAGCCTGGGAAGGCAGTAACAGCCAGGATAGAAGTTGCTGGTGCTGTGATCTGTGCTGAGCTCTGTTTCTCCTAGGAACCTAAACCTTTGCATTCATCCTTGATAATCAGAACTCTAGCAAGAGGTTTTCTGCATTTCCATTCTCCATTCTGGCCACAAGGGCCAAGAGGAAGGACTGTCATTCAGGAAGAGACCCTTCTCTGTTGCTGAAGTTGGAGCTATCCTCAAGCAGAAAGAGTTGTTTGAAAGCCAGGAAAAAAAACAAAACAAAAAAAAAAACAAAAAACACTGGATTGAAAGTATCTCATTATTCAGAGTATTCTAAGGGGACACTGGTCTCATCCTTCCTGCCAGAGAGACTGAATCACTGCATTAGATCATCTGTAATTTCAGCTCTGAGACTATATGACTCTAAATACTATTTTTCATCCCTCCATCATCACCAATGCCAAATTTCTTTAACAAGATACAAGTGCAGTAACAGCATTTGCAGGGCCAGCTCTGAAGCATCATAGGATCATGTCAGTGGGAGTGTAATTATGATGGTTGGGCTAATGACTGGGAGTAACAGATGTCTTGAAGTACTGTCACTCAGATGAATTTCTGGCAAACTGTTTCATTTTTTCAGACAAAGGAAATTTCTTCCCATGTGGTCTCATGATGCTATATTAAGATATAATATAACTTAATAGATAGGTGAATAAGCTTTAAGGTTAGTGAGAATGGATGTAAATTTGATTCTAATCTTAACTAGTTGGTTCACCATGAACAACTACTTAACTTCAATGATTTTTCTTGTCTAGTCAAAAAGGTATAATGTACTAGTAAATGTGTGGTACTATAAAACAACAACAACAACAACAACAAAAAAAAACAGAAAAAAAAAAAAAAAAAAACCCGGGACAACGCAAGGAATAGGTGTTTGGCATCTAGGTACAACTGAAAAAACAATGATAGCAAATATCATCTCACCAGCTGAGATCTTCCCTAAACATGAGCCAAACTCATTCTGTAAAATGTTTGTGCTTTGAGGTTTTAGGCTAAATATAATACAGCTTTGGAGGTAATGGATTTTAATGTTTGTTCCATTTTAAAAAAATTTTATGAACTAGGGAATTGGCCACAAATAATCACTAAGTTACCAAACGAAAATATAAACATGATTTTTTTTTCTCATGAGAAGCTCCACATCCAATTAAAAGAATTTTTAAATAACCAAATTATGTTAAATTAAGTGAAATATATACTGATCATATATGAATATTTTATGTATATTACATATACTTTGTTGCAATCATTTTTAATCATTTTAGTTTAAAGTACATTCAAACTCAATTATTAAATAGTTTCATCATGGAATTATCCCTCACGATTAATTGAAACAAAAGTAGCCTAACAAGTGTAGCCAGCTTCTGAGCCAGCCACTGTCCTTTGCACTTCCAGGTTTCTTAGCATTTGTGTGTTGACCTTCAGCATGTTGTAGAGAAGGTGGGAAAAGCATTCATTGGACACTTCAGGAGATCTGAGTTTTGAACATGCTTGTTTCTCTGAAGGCCCTTCTGAGACTGACACTCCTAACCCTGCTCTCCTTGGATACCTTGCAGGCAAATGTGAATGTGGCAGATGTACTTGTTACCCTCCAGGAGACAGCAGGGTGTATGGAAAGACCTGTGAGTGTGATGACCGCCGCTGTGAAGACCTGGAGGGCGTGGTCTGTGGAGGTGGTAACCAATCTGTCAGCCTTATATCTTCTGCATGCAGATTATTTTGCCTGCACTTTTTCATTGTTTATCCCATTTAAAATTTCTGTTCAAAAGAAGTTAAGAAATATACCATTACACCTTAAAGCAATATAGCTTTATTAGCACTTTTATAAGCAAGAAATCTTACCTTGGGGATATGTGAAAAGACTGTCTAATCTAAATCAGTTTCTAAGTTCTATGCTAGTTGGTGGTAATTAAAATGTTTCCATGCAATCTGACATTTGGTCATATTTCTATTATTTCATTCAGAAATACTGATGGAAGAAAGCAGTGTCACCCAGAAACCTTGGGAAGAAACTGTAAAATTATAGTCTGAGTTGAACTACAGAGTTAGAAGAGATAGAAACTCAGTATTTCTGCCTTGCTTTTGGATCCCAAAAGTCACCCCCCAAAAAATAATCAATTATCCAGATAAAGAATAAGGCAACACAAGGATAATTTGCAAAGTAAAATGAGAAGATGAAAGTCTGAGATATGGAATGCTGACATGAGCTTTATCCAGGAGAAGGAATATATATCTGAATTATTCTAGTCCTGTCAATCTTGAAATACATTATATTAACAAGACTGATGTTGCTTGTATCTTTTGACCTTCATCTGGTAGCTCTCTTCTCAGAATATCTATCTTTATAAGTTCGTATTTACCTTCTTGTGTATGTTGCTCTGTAGCATACTCCGAATCACTTACAATTTGAACCATGGAGGAAAGTTCTTTGAAGTAACCCCTGTTTCTGGTGGTTTCTTGTGCTGTAATCATGGAAGTTACCCTAAAAAAGAATTTCTGCTTTCTTCATTTTAATGGTGGGAATTGGAGGGAGGTTGACAGTTAGCATCCAATAACTCACAAGTGACAGACCAGGACTTGAGCCTCCACACTCAATTCACAGATCTTTCCTTACACTGTGGAGCTCCTTGAGTAGCATCAAATTGTTTCCATATTGCCATATTGCTTTTAGGTTGGGTTAATATTAGTTCATTAATATTAGTTGCTAGTTGCCAGAGTTATCCAAGGAGATTATTGTTATTGTGTTACCATTTAATTGTGATAACGGTATATAGATGAAGCTTAGTGGGGATCTGGAAAGTCCAATATGTACCTTTCTATTTTTATTACCTTAGTCTTGTTGCTCAGTTGGAGATGGTGTCTGCAGTGAGGGATCTTCTCATAATGGCCTGGTATTGTTTGCTGTTCTTTTCCTCTCTGGCATCCAGTGTTTATCTAACATGAGCTTCCTTGCCCAGCATAATTGAGTGTCTTATTTGAAGTGTTTAATTTGGTAGAAATCTATTAAATCTCTATGGATATTAAATTGTATATTTTTCCTCCATAAACATCTTTATCGAAATTGAAAATAGACCACTTACCTGTGAGATATCTCATGGAAGGATTTTGCTTGAAAGGTTCTCAGAATTAGATATGAACACCCTTCTGTATTGTCCGTCTGCATGAAGCTTTGTCCCTGAGAGAACAGACTTCCATGACCCAAATTAGAAAATGCCCATGTATAAACTTGAGCAGCAATCCTTCCATGTGCAAAGAGAAACTGAGTTGGCCCAGAGCTTAGAACTTTTTGTAAGAGACCTATAGGAATCATGTTCTGAGACATAGATTGGGCTGTCGTTTATTGGAAAAGGCAGTGAGAAGTGGAAGATGTATTAGGAAAGGAAAGGCATTTGTTAAAAGAACTGTGTGATTAGAAGTACATGTAAGTTAAATTACAACTTCATTCCAGCACAAGAGATGAAGTTCTAAAATCATGCAAAACAAAATTCTCATCTATCCATCAATCGTTCCCTAATGCCCACTTCTAGGCATTTATTTCCTTGCTACATCAGAATGACTCGCAGGTGTGTGATCAGCTCCCATGTCTGACAGAAACCTTCAGGTAGTGGAACTCAACAAAAGCAACAAGGATGAAAGAATATCAGTGGATACCTATTATAGCTACCATAATATTCTTCAAAAGAACTCAACTCTTATGTCCGATGGTCCAGATTTCTTCTCTCAGGACTACAAAAGATACCTCAGCATGTTTTTATTCTTTGAATACTCTCTAGATTTGCTAACTGTTCAGTCCATCATTCCTTGTCCAGTGTTTAACAATCAAATAGACAATAGCCCTATCCTGTTACAACTGTGATTCCCTCCAGGAGACCCTTATACACACTTAGATTTCATATTGGTTCCTCTACTCGGTATAGGTAATGCCAAGTGTGGTGGTTTGAATGAAAATGGCCCCTACAGGCTCATAAATCTGCATGTTTAGTCCCCTATTTGGAAAGGATTGGGAGGTGTGGACTTCTTAGAGGAAGTGTGGGCCTTATTGGTAGTTGGAAGTAGGCTTTGAGGCTAGACTCATGGTCACTCTGCTTGCTACCTGTGGATCAGAATGCAAGCTTTCAGTCCCATGTTAGCCCTCCTGCCTTCCACCAAGCTTCATATCATGATGGAAATGTATTAACCCTCTGAAAATGTAAGCAAGTCCCCAATGAAATGCTTTCTTTTATTTGAGTTCCTTGGTCATGTTGTTTATTCATAACAGCAGAACAGTAGTAACTAAGACACCAAGGAACTTAGTGATCAGCTTAGTGATCAGAAGATTGTATTTTTCATGCATTTTCAAGTTTGGCCAAGACTTTGCTGATATCTAAATACACCATGATACACTTCCTGCCAGTGCTGAAGAAACCATAAGCAGATAGCAAGATCATATTTAGTCATTATCATCAAATTTAATTCCTAGTCCATTTTTCTAGAACTTTATTGACTAAGAAATTGCATACTCATCTAATTTCCTATTTTGATACTTATTATAAACATTGTATTGATCAAATAATCTCTGAGTGCTCACCAGGTTTGTACATAAAATAAGTCTTAGAAGTTCCTCTTGAAAATATTACGTTTTTATTATTAAAATTTACTTTGATGTTTAAATGATGTCTTGTGAAATTTAAATGTGGTTTAAACAGGTAACAACACTTGCTTCTTCATCTCTCACCTATGAGCAGCCCAGCTCACAGTTCAGAGCCTGATTCTCTGCCACAGTCTTGCCTCCAGGGCAAATATATCCCACATCTATATACATACCACTAAGTTTTATTACTCAGTTAGGGACAGTTCCTGCTGGGAGGGAATCTTCTCACTATGCCCTGGTCATATTATAAGTAAGAATAAAAAGTCAGAAACACTGCCTATAACTTACTAGTCATCCATGGTGTTCTGTCTAATAATATTCCCCAATAATAAAGGCCAATATATATTCAATCCTTCGTATTTGTGTTACTTATGTTCTAGAAGACCATTTTCAACACTAAATTAATAAGTGCAGAATCATTAGACCTAAGAGAAATGCGAGATTAGATTCTTGCTTTTAGTCACAATATTTTAAATAACTGCTTAACGCATATTTTTGTTTTATTTTGTTCAAACATACTTCATTTAAATATAATTGATAAATTAATATTGAACTCAAGACCTGATCATGTCTGATCAAACCTCACCTAACATATATATTTTTGTATAAGACATATCATGGCCTTCTTGTACTCATGAAAACAAGAATGCTTTTCAGTACTGTACCAAACACTCTTTGAGTCATCAAAATGGGAACAAAAAAAGAACAAAATGTGGCATTGAAATGACCAGGTAAGAAATACTTGTTTAGGATTTGAAAGCTAAAAATGAAGGAAAACATGATTTTTTTTTTACCCTAGCCAGGAATATGAATCTGAACCACAGTGTTTTCCATTGTTCCACATATATGCTCTCATCACTCTGTGAGTAGTGAGATTGGAGCTGCAAATAAATTTAGAAATAAGTGAATCTGCAAATACAAATCTAGGATTAATGACAATCAGCTATAGTTCATTTTAAATGCCACTGGAAAGGTGAATGGTACTGACATTATTAAGGTGGTGAGTAAAAATGCTGCTGTTTTAATTTCTCTATTTTCTAATTATTGCTTTATGGATGAAACTATATGAGCCTTGGCTGTCTTAATATCACAATTTTCTTCTATTTCTCAGCTATTCTTAAAATACAAGAGAACTTCCATTGTGGAAGATGTTTAAACCTGAAGCAATTTTGGTAATAAAGCAAATAGTTCAAATTCTCATGATTTTTTATAACTAACAATATGCATGTTCTGCGTGAGGGATACCTAAACCTATGTTTGAGGAATCATAGAATGAGACTTGGGCTCCTACAGAGGTGGAGATCGTCTTCTGAGATAGAAGCTTCAATATTGGTGCACTAAAGAGCTCTTCTTAAAAGGAGACTGGTTTGAAACAAGAATCTGAATATTTAATTGAACCTGAAGAGAGATGTAATTCCAGAGGATAAGCAGTATTTACAAATGTTCCTGGTTCAATGGTATCAGTGAGAGCCAGGGTAAACCCCATTGACTCCTGGGTTCTTTGCCATGTTAGATGAAGGAGGAACTTATGCTTTACTTTACACTTGCCAGTTGTCTCTTTATTGAAAAGATGGGTTCTTCATTTGAGGTTAACTGGGATGGAGAAACTGGGATATATCATGATTCTGCCCCTTTATCTAACATTCTGCTCCTTATCCTTTTGAATTCTTCTGAATAATGGCACCAGTCCTGCTTCCAAACAACCTCCTTCAGGAAACTATTTTACTTTTCTTCTGTGTGCAGTGCCTCCACAAGACACATAACTCAGTGGAGTGTTGTGAGTATGGATATAGTCAAACTTCTTTCCTGTCTTCTGCCCTTCCCCTTCATCTCTCTACCAATTCAAGTTATTTTCAAACTAAGCATAAAAGAATATTCTTCAAATAAATTAGAAGTTCAGGGAAACACAGATACATTAAAGAGAAAATGAAAGCTTTTACTAATTTTGGAGTATAGAATTCTCTGAGTTGCAGCAGACTTGGATTGGATTTACAACAGCTAATGTCTGGATTGTGGTGTTTTATGTGAAAGCATCTAGGTTTG